CCTCCCTCTTTGCCGCTCCCGATCTAGAGCCGTCGCCAACAGCGCATGGCAACCCCTCCGGGCTTCGGGCCAACTGCGCAGCGTCAAGCGCTTCGTCCCCGTCGGCCCCCGCCCCCCCGAACAGCGCGCGCCCGCCCGTTCTCCGAGCAGCGGGCGCGTGGGGCGTGGCCGGGGGAGGCACGCCTCTCCGTCGCAGGGCTGGGTTGGCCTCGTGGCCAGCGGCGGCCTGGGGGCGCGACGAGTCGGAACGAAGATGTGCTGGATCTATTTTGTTGCGAGGGCAGGTCCGCCCTGCATTCGGGGCACTGCGGCGGCGCGTCCGCGCCCGCGAGATGCTCGCCGCAAGGGGGTCCGTTGGCCACCGGGCGCCGCAGCCGCGAGCAGTCCTGAGGCAGCGGCGGCAGCGATCGGCTCCCGAGCGCGCCTCCATCGGGGAGACGTAAGACCCGGGTACGGGGGACTCGAAAATCCCCGACGAGGTCGTCAAAAAAATGACGAGGCCGAGCCTGCATTTTGACGAGGCCTCCCGCTGCAGACATCCCACGAAACTCCTCCTCGTCAAAATCCGAGTCGCGGTCGTCAAAAAACGATGGCGAACCCGAGTCCCGGCAAACCCGGGTCTTACGCTCCTCCGACTCCAGCGGAGGGGAGGGTCGCGGCTGAGTCTGACGCTGATGGGGCCCCGTCATGACTTGCCGGTGCGAGCGCGCGCAGGCGCGGAAGGCGACTTCGCGCGTCGAGCCAGCCCTGCAGTGCCTCTGTGCACGCAAGGGGAGATGCCTGGCTCACGGTCGCCACGCAGACTCCCGCAGCACTGGTGGGGCGCCGCCCTGGTGCTTCCCTTGCAGGAGCCCATTCGTTTACTCGGGCCGGCCACGGGCGTGATTGGGGGGGGGGACGCCCCGCCGATCACGTCACGGCGGGGGTGCAGCTTCTGAAGGGGGACGCCCCGCCGATGACGTCACGGCAGGGGACGCCCCGCCGATCGCCTTGCACTGCAAGCTGCTTCTGAGGAACAGCTTGCTCCGCCCACCCGCGCGGAGCCCGCGTGGGCGAGGGCGACAGGACCGTGGCCCGGAGGGCGCAAACCGCCCGGAGGGGCTCCCCTGGAGCCAGGGGCCCGTGGGAAACCTTGGCAAGCTTCGCGTGCAGGCGGAGCTTGCAAATTCTTGGCTCACGAACCGTGGCTTTGCTGCGAAGGTTGATTGTCCTCTGGCGAACCGGACGCACGCTTCTCGCGAGGTCGCAATGTGGACGTGGACGCCCCCCCCCCCTCCCCCGCGTGTCGCGCCCAAGATTCACCGCCAGGGGGGCCTGGGTACCTATCGAGTTGAGCTGCTGAACGATGTGGGCTCCCAAGGCAAGGTCCGACGCCGCCACCTTGGACTTGCTGGAACTAGGCAGCTGCTGCCCGCTAAGAGCACTGGGCAAACATGCACCCGACCTGAGGCATTTGTTGCTCAACCGTGCAATCCGTGCCCTAAGATCTAGCCGCGGTGTCGTTGAAGGGCGGGAACTCCAGAGGCCACAAGAGCACCAACAATTGCTCGACCCCGCGAGTTGGGGCCCGCGAGAGGGATCTCGCCACAGGAGAGCGGGTGGGAAAAACCAGCTCAGGCACCGTGGAACGGGGCCTGAGCGCCCGCGGAGGGAGGAACATCTGAGCTTCTACAAGAGAGTGGCGATCCCTGGGGATCCCTGCTGCGCCGAAGCTCGCGTCAGCTGCGCCGTGCTGGCAGTCTCGTGAAACTTCGCCAGGTCCGAACCTGGGGGGGGGGGGGCGCCGGAGATGGCCCGAGCGTGCGCGAGGCTTCGTCCGACATGGCGCGCTCAGAAGCCGCCGCGAGGGCGGACGGGCCCCTGATGGCGATGCTCCAGATGCGGACTGAGACTCGGACCGCTGGCTCCGCGATCTGCCTGCGGGCTGCGCACTGCTTTCGACGTCTGTGGCCCGGGAACTGTGGCTAGACGTTGGTATTGATGCTAATGAAGATTCGCTGGGCCGCGCTGCCTTCCCTTAAGTCGGGCCTGTCCCCCTACAGGGGGATTTTCGACGAAAAGAAAACAAATCCCCCCCACAAAATCCCAACATGGTCCCAACAACAGTCCGGGGACTCTGCTTCGAGTATCCTTCGACCTCCTTGGGGCACTCCTGGGGCACCTCTTGCTACCCTTCGTCGAACATCTCCTCCTGCAGGGGGACGCGCTTCATGCCAGGCCGAGCCCTCGACCACGCCCCCCGGGCGCGCGGGCGGCGCCCCGAGCGCCAAGGCCGCCGTCCCCCCCCCCCCCCGCGGGCTCCAGGCGCCGCGGCTCCCAAAGGAAGGGAGCGGCTGCCGAAGCTGCGGGGGCCTCGGGCCTCCGCCCGGCAGGGGGGGAGAGCTCGTGGCAGGCGGTGCGTCCCTCCGGCGGTGGCCTCGGGGGGTCGACCAGGCCGAGAGCGTCCACGCGCTTGGGAGGAGGAGGAGGAGGAGGAGGAAGAGGAGGAGGAGGTGGAGGAAGGAGGAGGAGGTGTAGGAGAAGCACGAGGAGGAGGAGGAGGAGGAGGAGGAGGAGGAGGAGGAGGAGGAGGAGGAGGAGGAGGAGGAGAAGGAGAAGGAGGCGGAGGAGGACGAAGAGGAAGAGAAAGAGGAGGAGGAGGAACTTGCCAGGAGTCGGGGGCCCCAGGGCGGGGCGGTGACCACGCCGTGCAGTGGGCCGGTGGGGATTCGGGGTCACCGCGCGGTTTTGGGGCTCGGGTCGTTCTCCGAGGACGTCTCGGGCGACAGGGGCCTCCGAGGTCCCAAGACCGTGCGGTGGTGACGGACCATGCGGTGAGGTCTTAGGGGGATTTCGAGGTCACCGCACGGTGCGTCACCGCACCGTTTCGGGACTCCCAAAGGAGGCATTCTCCTGGAGACCGCCTCGGAGCGCTAGGCAGTGAGGTCGGGCGCAGGGTGTCTCCCCCCCTGGCGTGCGACAGGAGCAGCAGGCACTCCCTCAAAGCAACTGCTGTTGTGAGGCCAGAGGGTCCGACCACTGGTTCCTCCACTGCTCAAGCTGCGCCTCCATGATGACCGAGGGGTCCGGGGAGGCGTACCGAGGGACCTCGGGGACATCGACCTCCATGGGCTGCAGAGGGGGGCAGGTACCAGACACACCTGTGAATGATGGCTGCTGCAGTCTTCCAAGAATCTCTGACCCACGTGACAGCAACTGCGTTCGATTTGGGTAAGGTATGTCCTCCATCAGGCGGATTTTGGTAGAAACTAAGAAACAGTCAAACCATCATCAAACATAGTCAACAGAGCACAAAACATCGCCACCAATATTCCTCCTGTAGAGGGACATGCACGACTGAACATTAGATGATGTAGGGCACGTGCCCACGCGAGCTGGGTACAATGTTTAGTGGTCTCACCCCCATGCTCAACGGGCCTGAGGACGCCAGTATCAGATCGAACCACCTGTCGATGTCGGCGCTGGGGGCTTTGGGCCCGAACATGTCCTTGCGCGCTTTTGCCTCAGCCTGGTCGGCCGTGCTGCCGAGCGTGTCGACACACTTCTGCCTTTGATCAGTGTCTCGGTTGCGTTTGACTAGGGGCTCCCGCTCGAGACTTCCCCGCAATTCACTTGCAGACGAGTGAGCGCCCGAGACATCGTCCCAGTTTGCTCAGGAACGAAGCTCCCGCTCGAGACTTCTTCGGGATTTGAGCCCCCACGTGTCATCAAACCTGCGTTCTCACATGGTTTTCCGATAGCCGCGTCGGATTCGAACATGGAGGTGGGGACCCCATATGGAGGGGCTCCCGCTCGAAACTTCTTCGCGACTCACGCACAGGTGAAGCTCCCGCTCGAGACTTTCACAAGGCGAGTGTGCGAGTGCGTATGTGTGTGTGTGTGTGTGCGAGTGAGTGAGCGCGGTGACGATGATAGTGATGATGCTGATGCTGTTGTTGTTGACGATGCTGATGCTGATGCTGATGTTGCTGCTGCTGCTGCTGATGACGATCGCCGGCGATCACGAATGTATGGTGGTTGTGATGATGACAGTGTTGATGATGACGATGCTGGTGATGATGCCGATGATGGTGGTGAGGGTGATGATGATGGTGGTGATGATGATGGTGATTGTGATGATGGTGATGATGATGCTGCTGCTGATGATGATGATGATGGTGAGGATGATAATGGCGATGGCGATGATGCTAAGTGTCTGGGGAAGGGGTGATGGTGTGAGGAGGAATGGTGATGGCGATGTTGAGAAGAGGAGGACAGAGATGGTGAATGAGGGAGTGAGTGATGATGATGGTGATGGTGCTGATGAAGATCACGATAAAAACAACGATGGCGATGCTGATGACGATGACGATGATGGCGATGGTGTTGATAATGGTGGCGAGGCTGATGATGATGATGATGATGATGATGATGATGGCGCAACTGTTAACGATGATGATTATGGTTATTATGATGATGCTGTTGTTGACGATGGTGATGATGATTATGCTGATGATGCAACTTATGATACTGATGCTGATGCTGATGTACGTGTGTTTGTGTGTGTGTGTGTGTGTGTGTGTGTGTGTGTGTGTGTGTGTGTGTTGGGGAGTTCTTGTTCCTGCGCGGGGCGTCAAGAATGGATGTGGGGAACACGAGCCCCACTTAGGATGCGGGGACACATACCAATAGTAACACTCAGATATAGAGGAGGGGAGGAGGAATAATGGAGGAGGAGGAAGAGGACGAGGAAGAGGAGGAGGAGGAGGAGGAGGAGGAGGAGGAGGAGGAGGAGGACGAGGAGGAGAACGAGGACGAGTGGAGGAGGGAGAGAGGAGAGGGAGGGAGGGAGGGCGAAGATGATGGGGCAGAAGGGGCGGAAGGACCAGGAAGGAGGGAGCCTCGGCTCACTCCCCCCTCCCTCGCCCTCCTCCTCCCCTCGACGAGGAGGCCGGGCATGGGCCCCGCCGGCGACGAGGAGGAGGCCGCGCCCGAGGGCGCGGCGGGCGGCGGGCTGGGGCCTCCGTGAACTCCTTCTTGCCCTCGTCCGTCATCTTGACGGCGATGAGCTGCAGGAGCTCCTTGAACTTCTGCACGGTGGCCTCCGCCGCAGCCGGGGCCCGAGCACGAGGGAGCTTCCACACGAAGCCCAACCCCGAGGCCCCAGGGCGTCTACCGACTTTTTTGGTGTGGGCACGCTGCGCTGTCCATAGCAAAGCCATCGAAGCCCACGAAGCCCAGGGCGCCCTGGAGGCCAGCAGGGTGCTTCTTGGCATGGGTCTCCACTGTGCTGCCTGCTGCCCACTGCGGTCGGACCTAGGATAGAAGAGCACCCTTCAAAAGCATGAGGCCCTCCGCCGGCCACGCTGAAGAACATCCGAGGGTACCCTCCCCCAGGGTGCACAAGAACATCCAACGAGCACGGAGAAACTTGGGGTGCTCTCCCCGAACCGACCCCGATCTTGTGACTCGGTCCGACCGTACTGCCCGTCGGCCACTGTCCGCTCCCTCCTCTTCCTGGCAAGCTGGGGTGGCTCGCGCTTCGCCCGTCGGGACTGCTTTGCTCTGCAGCAGAAATGCATGTGGCACGCGTGCCACGGCTCGTGCACGAAAAGGGAGGGGGAGGAGGAGGAGGAGAAGGAGCACGAGGAGGAGAAGGAGGAGGAGGGGAAGGAGGAGGAGGATGAGGAGGCGGAGGAGGAGACGAGGAGGAGGGGGGAGAGAGGGGCCAGAAATCGAGAGAACGCGGGGTCGGGGGTCCGGACGGGGGCGGGCGGTGCGCCGCCGAAAGGAAGTGGTCGGGGCGGAGGGGGGGCGGGGTGCACTGGGCGGGTGGGGAGGGGGGAAGGGTCGTGGGGGCGGGACGGTGGGGGCCTTGCGACGCCGAAATAATGGTCGGGGCGGAGGGGGGCGGGGCAGAAACGGCACTGGACGGGGGGCGGCGCGACGCCGAAACAAGGTGGTCGGGGCGGAGGGGGGCGGGGTGCAGAGGGCACTGGGCGGCTGGGGAGGGGGAAATGTCGGGGGGGGAGGACGGTGGGGGCGGTGCGACGCCGAAGGGGGCGGAGGGGGGCGGATGGAAAGGGCCCTGGACGGGGGGCGGTGTCCGCTGGTGGTGGTGGTGGTGGTGGTGTATAAAATGGTCGGGACGGAGGGGGCTGGGTTGGAGAGAGCTCTGGACGGGGGGCGGTGTCACGCTGGTGGTGGTGGTGGTTGGTGTGGGTGGGTGGGTGGAGGGGCGGGGGGGCGGGGCGGTGGGGGCGGTGCGACGCCGAAATGAAGCGGTCGGAGCTCCAGACGCCCTGTGCAAGAGAATCGAAGAGTAGCATCGTTTTTTTTTTTTGGTTCCCAACCATCCTGTGGTGTTGGGTCCTCGTTTTGAAGAGACAGCGCCCCGCGTCCCACCTCCTCTCCTCCTCCTCCTCCTCTCCTCCCCCATGGCTGCCGTCCGCATGCGTCCCGCACACCCATTTTGGCACACCCCTCACACGTTTCGTGGCCCCACAGGGAGCTCCACCGAAGGCCCCAGTGCTGCCGTCCGCATGCGTCCCGCACACCCATTTCGGCACACCCCTCACACGTTTCGTGGCCCCATAGGGAGCTCCACCGAAGGCCCCATGGCTGCCGTCCGCATGCGTCCCGCACACCCATTTCGGCACACCCCTCACACGTTTCGTGGCCCCACAGGGAGCTCCACCGAAGGCCCCAGTGCTGCCGTCCGCATGCGTCCCGCACACCCATTTCGGCACACCCCTCACACGTTCGTGGCCCCATAGGGAGCTCCACCGAATGGCCCCACTGGCTGCCGTCCGCATGCGTCCCGCACACCCATTTCGGCACACCCCTCACACGTTTCGTGGGCCCCATAGGGAGCTCCACCGAAGGCCCCAGGCTGCCGTCCGCATGCGTCCCGCACACCCATTTCGGCACACCCCTCACACGTTTCGTGGCCCCACAGGGAGCTCCACCGAAGGCCCCAGTGCTGCCGTCCGCATGCGTCCCGCACACCCATTTCGGCACACCCCTCACACGTTTCGTGGCCCCACAGGGAGCTCCACCGAAGGCCCCAGTGCTGCCGTCCGCATGCGTCCCGCACACCCATTTCGGCACACCCCTCACACGTTTCGTGGCCCATAGGGAGCTCCACCGAAGGCCCCAGTGCTGCCGTCCGCATGCGTCCCGCACACCCATTTCGGCACACCCCTCACACGCTTCGTGGCCCCATAGGGAGCTCCACCGAAGGCCCCATGGCTGCCGTCCGCATGCGTCCCGCACACCCATTTCGGCACACCCCTCACACGTTTCGTGGCCCCACAGGGAGCTCCACCGAAGGCCCCAGTGCTGCCGTCCGCATGCTCCCGCACACCCATTTCGGCACACCCCTCACACGCTTCGTGGCCCCATAGGGAGCTCCACCGAAGGCCCCATGGCTGCCGTCCGCATGCGTCCCGCACACCCATTTCGGCACACCCCTCACACGTTTCGTGGCCCCACAGGGAGCTCCACCGAAGGCCCCAGTGC